TCCCCTGGATTGGCAGACCGGGGTGGTGGTCCCCCTATCCAAAAAGGTGGACCGTAGAGTGTGTTCAAACTACAGGGGGATCACGCTCTTAAGCCTCCCTGGTAAGGTCTATTCGGGGGTTCTGGAGAGGAGAATCCATCGGATAGTCGAACCTCGGATTCAGGAGGAGCAGTGCGGTTTTCGTCCTGGTCGTGGAACACTGGACCAGCTCTACACTCTCAGCAGAGTCCTGGAGGGTGCGTGGGAGTTTGCCCAACCGGTCTACATGTGCTTTGTGGACTTGGAGAAGGCGTTCAACCGCGTCCCTCGGGGAACCCTGTGGGGGGTACTCTGGGAGTACGGGGTACTGGGTCCTTTGATACGGGCTGTTAGGTCCCTGTATGACCGGTGTCAGAGCCTGGTCCGCATTGCCGGCAGTAAGTCGGGCTTGTTCCCGGTGAGAGTTAAACTCCGCCAAGGTTGCCCTTTGTCAACGATTCTGTTCATAACTTTTATGGACAGAGTTTCTAGGTGCAGCCAAGGTGTTGAGGGGATCTGTTTTGGTGGCCTTAGGATTGCATCTCTGCTTTTTGCAGATGATGTGGTCCTATTGGCTTCATCAGGTTGTGATCTACAGCTTTCGCTGGAGCGGTTCGCAGCCGAGTGCGACACAACCGGGATGAAGATCAGTTCCTCCAAATCCGAGGCCATGGTCTTGAGCCAGAAAAGGGTAGAGTGCTCTCCCCAGGCCAGGGAGGAGGTCCTGCCCAAAGTGGAGGAGTTCAAGTATCTTGGGGTCTTGTTCACGAATGACAGAAAAATGGAACGTGAGATCGATAGGCGGATAGGTGCAGCGTCTGCAGTGAAGCAGGCGCTGTACAGGTCTGTCGTGGTGAAGAGAGAGCTGAGTCAAAAGGCGAAGCTCTCAATTTACCGACGGATCTATGTTTCTACCCTCATCTATGGTCATGAGCTTTGGGTTGTGACCGAAAGAACGAGATCTCGGATACAAGCGGCCGAAATGATTTTTTTCCGCAGGGTGTCTGGACTCTCCCTTAGAGATAGGGTGAGAAGCTTGATCATCTGGGAGAGACTCAGAGTAGAGCCGCTGCTTCTCCACGTCGAGAGGAGCCAGTTGAGGTGGCTCGGGCATCTGGTTAGGATGCCTCCTGGACGCCTCCCTGGTGAGGTGTTCCGGACACGTCCCACCGGGAGGAGACCCAGAGGAAGACCCAGGACACGCTGGAGGGACTATGTTTCTCGGCTGGAACACCTTGGGATTCCCCCGGAGGAGCTGGCCCAAGTGGCTGGGGAGAGGGAAGTCTGGGCCTCCCTACTTAGGTTGCTACCCCCGCGACCCAACCCCAGATAAGCGGAAGAAAATGGATGGATGGATGTTATGCTGATGATACACAGTTGTATTTGTCCATGAAACCCAATGAATCCAGTCAGCTACTTAGACTAAAAGCATGTCTTAAAGACATAAAAACCTGGATTACCCTAAATTTCCTTCTTTTAAATTCAGACATGACTGAAGTTTAGTTTTTTGAACCTGAACATATTAGGAATACATTTTTCAGTCTTTCTCCCTCCTTAATTCAGTTTATTTATATAGTGCCAAATCACAACAAAGTTAGTCTCAGGGCACTTTACAGAAACATTAACATAAAAGCGAATTAGTAAAGTTCTCTATCTAAGGAATCCAGCAGACAAGTTGAATCTTGGCTTCGTTGCAGTCTCCCATCCTGAGCAAGCACAGTGGAGACAGTGTAAAGAAAGAAAACTCCCTTTTAACAGGATTTATCAAAAAGGAAATTCTTAAGCCTAGTTTTAAAACTAGATAATGTGTCAGCCTCACGGACAGAAACTGGAAGTTGGTTCCACAAGAGAGGAGCCTGAGAACTGGAAGATCTGCCTCCCATTCTGTTTTTGTAAACTCTAGGAACCACAAG